AGAAAGCCGTTACAATTACAGGCTGTGAGACACTAAATCTTAGTCCACATACGTGGCTACTCATCTGTAAGCCTTTTTTTTTAAATTCTATACAAAATTATGGGTTTTGCCGCTTAGCGTATCCCTGTACCATCATACTCTAGCCTACATCGCTAACTCATATAACATTAATTAAAATTAAATTTAAAAAAACAAACGACAGGCCTGTTGGTCTAGTGGTTAGTGACCCTGACTGCTAAGCCGGAGGTCGTGGGTACGATTCCCACCCAGGACAAATGTTTGTGTGATGAGCACGATCATTTGTTCTGTGTCTGAGTGTAATTTATCTATAATATTTATGTATTTAGAAATATATATAAAAAAATATATATAAAGAAAGAATTACAGTGATGACGGTGATGAGTTAAGAAATTTACGTGTGAGACGACAGGTGTTAAGAAGTACTGCTTTTTGTATAAGTGTAAGAGTGGATTTAGGCATTTGAAGCATGTTGAGGCTGGTTTGAAGGGTCTTTGGAACTACACCAGTTGTAGATATGATGACAGGAATGATTTTTACGGAGTCTACTTGCCATTGCCTTATTATTTCGATAGCCAGGTCAACATACTTTGTCATTTTTTCCGAATGTGTAGTAATGAGGTTGTGTGTGTTGCAAACTGCTATGTCTATTATAAAAACAGATTTTTTAATTTTGTCTAGTATTGTTATGTCTGGTCTATTGTAATGTATAGTCTTGTCTGTTATAATTGTCCTGTCCCAATATATTTTGACGGAATCACTTTCTAAAATAGTGCTGGGAATATATTTATAATAAGCGACCTTTTTTAAAATGAATGAATGTTTGTGGGCCAGGTTTTGGTTGACAATTGCAGCAACTTGGTCATGTCTATGTTTGTAGTCAGTTTGAACTATAGATTTACATGCACCTGTAATATGTTGAATGGTTTCTGAGCTACTGTGACATCGTCTACATAAGTCAGTTGGAGGGCTGGGAATATGAATAATGTGTTTTTGATAGTTACGAGTATCTATTACTTGGTCCTGAATAGCAATTACAAAAGCCTCTGTCTCTGGAAAGAGTTCTCCGCGTCGGAGCCACTCATTCGACGCTTGCCTGTCGACATGTGCTTGACCGAGATCGGCAAGGTACCTACCATGTAGAGACTTTTGTGACCACAAATCTATTTTCTGCTGTTTACTTACTACTCGTATTTTGAGCTGAAAATTTCTGTCATTTAGATTAAGAGGAGTTAGTTTTTTGTCTATACCTACAATATATTTGTGCAGTTGCGAATGTTCAGATTTTACATAGAAATATTTGCGAAATTTGTCTATTAGACTGTTGTGTACATTTTGGATATCGATGATGCCTCTCCCTCCATCTTGGCGTGGTAATGTGAGACGCTGTGTACATGATCTGGGGTGGTGTTTTCTGTTTACTGTCATATTTGTATTAATTGTGCGTTGAAGTTTAACTAAATCACTCTGAGACCAATTTATTATTCCAAAAGAATAGATGAGAATGGGTATCGCGTAGGTATTTATGGCTTTTATAATATTGCGTGAATTTAGCTGAGTTCTTAATATTTGGTTTATTCTAATTTTAAATTTTTTAGTTAAGTCTATTTTTGCTTGTTTTTGATGTATCTGTTTGGACTGATGAAATCCTAAATATTTATATGTGCTATGTTCGTCCATGGGCTCTATTTGTTCACCAGTACTGAGTATATATGTATTGTTTATTGATTTTCCGCGAATGATAGAATGTACTTTGCATTTATCAACACCAAATTGCATTTTTATGTCTGTAGAAAATGACTGTGTTAAGTCTGCTAGTTTTGTAAGTTCAGTGTTGTTGGTTGCATAAATTTTTATGTCGTCCATATACAGTAAATGTGACAGAAAGTGTATATGAGTTATTATATTTTAATTTAAAACCTACATTAGTACTATTGAGTAATTCTGATAACGGGTTGAGGGCTAGACAAAACCATAACGGACTAAGAGCGTCTCCCTGGAATAAACCTCTTTGTATTTTTATTGATTCAGTACTTAAGGAACTGTTATTTATTAATTTTAGTTTCATTTTCCAATGAAGCATGGCTACATTTAAAAATGAAATCAGACTGGTATGAATTTTGTAATATTTTAGTACATAAATTAACCAGCTATGAGGGACAGAATCAAATGCCTTTTTGTAATCAATGTACATTATATGAATATTTCTATTTTTACTGTGTGCTTGTTTCATGGCTATTGCATCTATTGTCAACTGTTCTTTACATCCCTTGCTATTTTTCTTACAGCCCTTTTGTTGTTCTGCAAGAATATTTTGTTGGTCAAGGTGTCTGTAGATTGTTTCGCTAATGCATCCTGTAATAATCTTGTATATCGTTTGTAGGCATGTTATAGGTCTGTAATTTGCGGGGTCTTTTGGATCTGAGCCTTTCGGAAGCATGTAAGTTAGACCGCTTGTTATGAATGTTGGCATATTATGTGGTGAATGTATGAATTGACAAATATGATTGTAGATAAATGGATGTGTACATGTGAGTACAGTTTTTGTACCAGTAATTATGTATATTATCGGTACCCGGTGCTTTCCAATTTTGTGTGCGTTTGATTATTTGAATGAATGTTTCTACTGTGATATTTTCAAAATCCATTTGTTTAATATTTGGTGCTTTTGCTATTTTGTCTAACCACTCAGCCTCACTATTATGTGCTACTGGGTTTTCCCATAGGCCTGCCCAAAATTGTTGTAAGAGTTGTGGTGATGGGAATTGAGTAGAACGTGTAGTATTAATATGGTGTTCGTGCCCTAAAGTTCTGTAGAACTGTTTTTCATTATTTAAAAAGTTTACATTTTGTTGTTTCCGTTTAGTACATGTTAAATATCTTCTCAATCTATTTGATAGCGCGTTTAATTTTTGCTTAAGTGTGTCGAGAAAATGTTGTGGCTCCGTATTAGATTCTTCATGTTCAGAGTGTGTTTTATATTTCCTCTTTATTTCTTCTACAGTCTTTAATATTCTCTGATTTCTATTTCCTATTATGTATTGTGTTAATCTTCCAATTTCTAATCTATATTTTTCTATTCTGCTTTCAATTCTTCTTTGCCAGGTAGGTTTTCTATTTCGATTGTTTGCAGTTATACTTCCCTTTATGTTAAATCTGGTACCATTGCATAAGGCGGCTGTATAAGCTGCTGAATATATTAAGGTATGTAATGAAATAAAATCTAAATCGTGACTAAGATGCCTCGGTAAAATTTCATTATTCAAGTAGTGAACAATCTGTGCAAATTTTCGTGAATATTTCTGTTTTGGGATGTATGGTCTTGCTTCAGCATGAGTTGTGCTAAATATTGCAATAGCATTATTAAATTCTATTTCAATTTTGTTACTTTCCATGAGATTTTGTAATTGGGAGTTTTCCTTTTGAGCATTACTTAATGTACATGTTTTTATGACAATGTTTGTGCTATCTATCATGTTTTCAAGTTGAGTATGCTGTGTGGGTGTAAAGATGTCTGTTGTGCTTTCATACGGGGTTTGTTGCATTTGTTCTACTTCGGTATAATTTTGATCTGTAACTAGTTGTCGATTATTCAGCTCCAATTTCAATTCTACTTCTCTTCTCAATTCGTTCTTTGGTCGGCAATCCTCTGTTCAGTAAGGTAAGATAAATATGGATGTATTTCTATGAACAGCTCATACAATTTTTTCCGGTAGCCAGTTTGATCTTTCTCCAACTCAGTTACTTCAAGATAAAACCTAATGATGTCTTCATTTATTTCATCCGACCATTTTATCCTGGTATTGTTCGTAGTATTTGTTTGTGATGGTGCTGTAATTTGAGTGCTGTGTGTGTGTTTATGGTTCTCATTCTGTATAATATATTCTCTTATTTCATTACCTATTTCGTCTAATAGTTTTTTGTGGCAGTAGTTTTCTTCTTAATATAGCTCATTTTTGGTCTCCTAGTCGTTGCCGAGTGGCTTTCATTTCGGGATATCTACTTTCAAATTCCAGGTGTAAAATTTCTAGGTAATCATTCATGTGGGTTGTTTCGCATTTAGTTATTAATAGGTATGTACGCCAAATAAAGCGGTTCATATCTTCTGTCCATTTTTTTCGCGCACGTTGTTGCCCAACAGTGGGTGCAGGTTTAGTAACTGATGCCTCCTGCACAACAGCTGTTGACCTTGTAATTCTTGATGTATATGAAGATGATGGTGATGAATCAGGTGATCGAAATAGGCTATGAGTTGAGGAAGGTGATGTAATATTACCAAAGAGTGAATATTCGGAAGATACCGTAGATGAAGGTGAATGTGATCGTTCGGCTGTAGCAATTTTTTCGAGGGGAACCCGCCTGTTCAGTCTCCGTCGCTAACGGTTCGCATGCTGTGGCATCCAGCGAACTCCGGGAAGCGGCCGTAAACTATATCTCTTATATTGACTGTCCATACAATTCTCCATTTTGGGTTCAGGATCGTTAGTTTGGGTTGGTTATTTATTGGCAAGATGTTAAGGCCGAGTTACCAGTACTTAATCCCATAAGCCCCCCCCCCCCACCACGTCAAGGTGATCCCACTTATTATTTTTAATTGTTATACTACGTGGGCCATGGATTAGAACAGAATTTTCGCATCGTCGCAAATTTTTTTATGGACTAAGGGTGACAAACGAGCACACAGACCACTTGATGTTAAGTGGACACTGGGTCCGATTGCGTTTCTCTTCGAACCTAAATAATGACAGACTAAAATTTTACTAAATATGTCCGTGTCCTTAACCTAAAGCTATTACGTTTCTGTTAAAATAAGTTCACGTCACTAAATTTGAACTTAATTCTACGTCTATGGAAATGGACATAATTACGTTCGTTTGCCGCCGCAAATGGCAACACCACACAACTAGTCTGTCAAGTTGTCAAGTCTGTCGTGGTTATTTTTTGTGTGAGTTTTCGCAAGAATTATTGAAATTTTAATAAATATGGATACAAAGAAGCCAAGAATGAAGAAAGAACAGCAACAATATTTATTAAACTTCTTGATGAGGAATCCGGAAACGGTTAACGGTATGTTTACAAAATATTTCATGTGAATTTTTGTTTTAGTAGTGTAAATTGTTATATTTTAATCTATCGATTTACTCATCCATCCATCTATTTACAGAATAGCAAGTTCATTTTAAATTTGATCATAATAATATAATTGCACTCTAACTTATCCTATCTACAAGCATTCCTGTGTAAATTCAGTTTGGTAGTCATATCGCATTGCAACGTTTGTTATTACATTTACAATCATTTATTTACGTTAAATTATAACATAACATATAATATAAATAATTGGCATCCAATAAAACATGATGTTTTAATAATTACCTCTACTTCATTTGTCTTTATTTATCAACAGGAAATTGTCAGTTGCCGGCTACCAAAAGATTGTGGACTGAACTGACAGAAGCCCTCAATGGAATGGGAGGTGATCGTAAGACACAGAAAGATTGGTTAGAGGTTAGTTAGTGGTGCTTCATACATTAAATTGTCCTAATTTTGTACTAAATATATCAGTGAACTTTTAAAATTTAAATCATAACCAACCTACTTTACCCACTTGGATATTAGTTGTTGTTAAATGTATAATCTAAATTTTTCAGACATACAAGTTATTAGCACGCAGGGCGAAGGCTAAGATGCGCACACAGTGTGCATCTATGCAAAGTACTGGAGGTGGTCATCCAGCAGATAACTGCTTGACAGAACTGGAGAAAAAAACAATAAATATAGAGGGGACATCAACTATATATGGATTGCCTGGAGCTGTGGAAGCTGTAAGTTATTGGCATTAGTTTTTTGTAAGCTCTATATTAGATTTACTTATTTTTTCATGATTGCATCAATCATCACAATTGTGTTAATTTTGAAAACTACATATATTACATAGCATTAATATTATAAAGATGTCCTTTTATAATATGTACGGAAAACCTTGATCCTTGACTTGTAAATTTCTTACAGGGTATTATTATTGTCCCAGGGACTCCACAGCCCATTGTTGATGTTCCGGATCCTTATGTTAAACAAAACATAGTCATGGTGAGTGTGTTATAGCAATGCTTGTAGCAGTCGTGATATTTATTACCAGTAATGGTCTGATGTTAAGTTGATTTTATTTTGACTACAGGTTTTGGATGATACTCAACTGCCAAAGCCCAAGCAGGCGTTGATTTGACGCAGTAACAGTTGTGAGTATATTTTACCTTTTTCCTTCCTTTATCACAACAACATTATTATATACATATAAATAAGATTTGTTAGTTTTATAAATAAGTTTAAACAGTGCCCTTATTATGACTTGAGTTCTACTGATTAGATTTTGATGTAGTTTTCATTAAGCGTTATGGTCAATTTTGGTAATTATAGAATAACCGCATTATTAATGGTATGAGTAATAAATACTGAAGTCATGTTAAAAAGAGTTTTATGCATAATGGTATTCTGAAATTGAATTCATAGTGGTACAATTGTATGAATTTATCCTTGTAATTGTACTATGCAGGATATACATTCAGACACTGAAGAAGAGCCCCCGAAGGAAGCGGCTATGGTGGATGCGTTGACACGCCGCAATTTGATGCGCCGCAACGCGCATCGAGCAACGCCCCGTACGCTCGTGCCGCCAGCCGATTCAGCCACCCCGCAAGAAGATGCCATGATAGTGGCTTTAAGGGAGGGAGCCCAAGCGCAGGTGGCGCTCGCCAATGCGCAGACAGAGGCCGCTCGGTATCTTGGCGATTGCATAATGCGTGCCGCTACCATGTTCGTCGAAGCGATCAATAAAAATAAATAAACTATTTTTTCGAAATTAAGTTTTATATTTAGTAGTTTTATTATTAATTCTTTAATTTAAATCTTTAATTAAAACACATCATGCAAAGTATTGTCTTGTTATGTTATTTCGAATATTTCTTACCACATTTAAAAAATTCATATCCCTGGGAGGATCATCTGCTGGCCGCAATCTGTCTTCGAGTTGCAATTCATCTGGTAAAGGTTCATTTCTCTTAATTGCCACGTTGTGGATAACAACTACAGCTGCTATTATTTTAGATGCCTTCACGGGGTCATAATGCAACGTCCTGTGCTTGTGAATGCATCTAAATCTTGTTTTCATCACTCCAAAACATTTTTCAATAAGAACCCTCGTTTTGGTATGCGCTAAATTATATCTAGCCTCAGGTGTATTTTCATCCGCATCAGCATACGGGGTCATCAGCCAAGGCAGTTGGGCATATCCAGAGTCTCCTAGAAGCCATTCACCAGCTGAAACTCCGTTAACATAATTGGTTTCCAATAATTGGCTCAAACTGGATCCTTGCCAGACCGCTGCATCATGTGTTGATCCAGGAAAAGTGGCATTTAAATGAATTATTTCCATCTTTGCATTACATACAAATTGGCAATTAAGACTATAAAAGCCTTTGCGATTAAAAAATAATCTCGCTGGCACAAGTGCAGTGTCTTTTGGGCGAACAATGGAGATTTGACTACAGTCTATCAAACCCAAGACTGAAGGAAACCCAGCTATCTGTAAAAACCTCTGTTTATTTTCTGCCCTTTCCTCTTCAGTCTCTGGAAATCGCACCATACCGTTCAATAAAACAGTTATAATTGCATCAGCAACTTCTTGTAAGCATTTGCTTACAGATGGCTGACTTAAACCTAAATACTGCCCCTGCCCAACCGTTGTTTGGTAGCCGCCATGTCCAAAGAAATGGAGTGAAGCCAAAACTTTGATATGCACAGGAATTCCGTGCTGCCTTTGTCGATTTAAATTCTGGTGAAGACACTCCACTAAAAAATGCGCAGTTATTTTGGAGAGCCTATATAATTTGGTAAAAACCTCTGCAGGCACGTCGAAAGGGTTGGAATGGTCCCGAATATGGCGATGCGCTATCCTTCTCGCAGCCCTACAACGAAAAAAGTTAGGTTATGTTATGCTTATACCTACCGTATGCAAGAACAGCAGTTTCTATAATATAAATTTCGTACTCATACCGTTGCCGTTCCTCATTGTGTCTTCTTTGAATGCTAGCCCAGCCATAAGGAAACATTTTTCACTATTTTCTGAAGAAACTTAGCTTACGTACGGACTAAATAGGTGCGAACTTAAAGAATAACACTTCCTAGACGAATAAGTTCATTTAAAGCCAACGAACTGTCAAATTGTCAGAAACGGAATAGGAAAAGACATGCGTAGACATAATTGAAGTCCGAATTGGACGTAAATAGTGTTGTGGACGTAATTAATTAACAAACGCAATAGCAATAATATTAGTACGAATTTTAGACTAATTTAAGTCTATTATTCGGCATTATTTAAGTGCGCCAAAGAAACGCAATCGGACCCACTGTGGCCCATAGACATCTGCATTACCTTGACTAGGAATCAAAATTTAGATGCGTTACTACCCATGAGGACTAAGATGGAATGCCTCGTTTCCTGTAAAAAGGGTCTCCCGTTATCTACACTCACCATACAAAATACAGCAGCATAGAGCTGCTATTTTACACTGGTATTCTGTGAGAGCGTGGTCCCAAGCCGACCAATTCGTGCTACAACCATAATATAGCTGCAGCTTGGCTCTACCATTTGGATGGGATAAAATATAATGATATGTACTTACGTCACTTTTGTTCAAATTCAAGACCCTTACTTAATTACTTCTAACTGACTCAAATCGAACACATTCCATCAATAAATTGTGTAGGTCTTCTATAACTATATGTAAACCTTCTTTAATTAAAGTTAATTGCAAGTGTCCATATGTCGATTGTAGATGAGTATGATATCTACCTGATGATTCATCATTCTCTAAACCATTTCCCATTATCTGGGGTCGGCGCAGTAAATCTTCTTGTTCCATTCCTCTCTATCAGCCGTCATTTCCATACTTACTCCTTTCATTCTCAGGTCACTCTTCACACAATCGATCCATCTTTTATTCGACCTTCCTCTGCCCGTGTGTCCCTCCACATTCATATTCAACACTCGTTTTGTGACATGACTTTCATCCCTCCGCATCACATGCCCAAACCATGCCAATCTGCTTCCTCTCACCTTTTCTACCACTGGCGCTACTTTCAGGCTTCCTCTTATATACTCATTCCTTATCTTATCCATCCTTGTCACACCACACATCCATCGTAACATTCTCATTTCATTCGCATGCAATCTATTTTCATCCTTCTTCTTGACGGCCCAGCATTCACTTCCATACATGACGACAGGTCGGATGGTCGATTTGTAAATTTTCCCCTTCAGCCTTATTTGCATTCGGGGATCGCACGTTGTGGCTGTGACCTGTCGCCATTTCATCCACCCTGCGTTAATATCTATCTGATATTTACCTTTTATTTTATTTATTTTTTATTTTTTTTATTTTATTTTATGATATTAGATATCTGATGATTGGTGCCTATTTATCTATCTTATTTGATTGGCTATTCAAAAATTAACCATTTCATTATATTTTTGCTATATTAGGGTCTATCCACACGTACCACAACCACAACCACGACACGTGGGCGGGTGCATTTTGTATTGGAAATTTTTGCCGTCATTATCGACTGCGTGAGTGATACCAAGTACAGTGGTTGCGTTAACCACTACGGAACCACACGTAACTAGCGGCCGTAGGGGGGAGGTAGAAGCGGAAGCCGAACGTAGTTTCTATCCATTGCCACAAAGTACAGTACTAAGCCGTCTATAATTTCCATCGTGTCAGCCGCTCCATAACAAGAGTAACTGACATAACCGAGCGGATAAGTAAGCTGAAGTGGCAAGGGGTCGACGGTATATCTTGCAGAACCAATAACCGCATAAATAGGTAAAAAAATAAAATTGGAGTTTAAAAAATCAAACAACACATATTGTCCATGATTTGTTATGATCCTAATGATATCGGTAAGTAAAACTGAGGATAATAGTTGCTAATAGTCAGGAAATGATTGTATAATCGTGACATTTTAGATTATACAGATCCTGGAAGTGGGTGTAAATGGAATTACAAAATTCTACCTCACACTTAATGTGAGGAAGGTTAGGAAGTATGCTGCCACTCAAACACCTTTCTGAAGTATTCTATTTTCATCGAACCAGTGGGGATCGTTTCGATGAAATTGGAGAGTATTAATTTGACATGTACAGAATGACTTACAAACAACTACTTTGAGTATAAGGGTGATAAACCATCACGCAGTCCAGTGGTAAGTGAATGCTGTGGCTCCTAGACATCGTCTATCCTTGACTAAGGATTCATATGCATATCGTTGTCACCACGGAGGACTAAGATGGAATGCCTCGTTCTCGGTAATAACTTAAACTGATAATTTTAAAACCCCCTGAAACAAAGGAAGCTGATTATCTTCAAACGGCTGAAACGATTTTGACAAAACATGTCTAAAACCACCGCTAGTAAACCTGCTTTTAAATAAAAAAAACCTCACCCAAATCGGTTCTTCCGTTTATGAGCTTGGCACCGTAGCTCTTAAACGGATGAAGACAGAGAGACACATAGACAACAAACACACAGACAGACAAACACACAGATAGACAGAGCACACAGCGGTCAAACCAATAACACCCCCTTTTTCGTGGGGGTTATAAAGGGTCAATGGTTCTCTGAACTCATACCAAACACAGCAGTAATAGGCTGCCACTGTACACTGTGTTTTTTGAAAAACCACATGTATGATATATCTACCACATATATACAGGTCGACGTAAAAACAAATTTTTCCAAGCGTTTTCGTGATATGACCCTTAAAAAAATGCATTTTCTCATTTCTTATAAATTTATCTTTTGTCACATTATTCTTTCTGTACATTTGAAATTGGAATACTCTTTTTTATTTACCACAAAAAGGGATCCCTTGTTCGAGAATTGTGGCTGACAATTTTTACACTTGCCGCAATTGTGTCGAGTGTCAATCAAACGGCACTTTTGTAATGATGCCGTGAAGCGAAAAAATCGTTTGTTACGTACTATTTAGGGATATTTAAGTGAAATCTTTGATAAGGAAGCGCTTTAAGCGCTTAATATCCGATAAATATTTTTATCCGTTATCACTTATCAGGTACTAGAATTTTTAAGTATAGCACATATAAAATTGGCTGTAAAGAAAACGATTACACAAACGTATTTTACTAATCTTCAGTTGTTAGTCTAATCTTAAAGCAAACTTTAATTTTAAAAATAAATATTACTCCCAGTTGTTTTAAAAATTGATCCTCGAGGTGGTAGGATTTCTTTCTGCCTGAAAATCCATCCCTTTAGGTACTGCCCTCTTACTTATTTATGCTGCAAAACAGCAGTGCTGCACTTCACTTCCGGTCTTAAGGGTATACAGAGCCAGTATAATTTAAGGCTGTGAGACATATCATCGAACTCCTCAGAAGTGACGATGCATATGTTGCAGTCTTTATTTGTAGCTGTCTGCAGTTATCGATGGACGGAGTATCCACTTACCATCAGGTAGGTAATAATTACTGTGGATTTATAAAGCGTTTTAATTGTTTTACTTTATATACTTTATATATTGCTACAAATAATAACTATAGAGTCCGAAGCGCAAAAATCGCTTAGGAATACAGTTGACATGTTTCATTTGACATCACGGCGCATGAGTGGTTTCTAGTGACAAGTGATCGCTCACAAGAGGGATTATCGCGACCCAACAACTGTATTTGGGATTAATTTTCGCGCTTCAAATCAGACGACATCTGTTCAATTAGCTCCAATAAGCAACGACTCGACAAGTGCTAAAGGAAATTGTTTATTATCTAAT